GAACGGGACGCTGGTGCCCCCTCAGCTCGCTCTGTTCGCCATCGCCACGCCGCTGCAGCCGCCGTCCATCCTGGAGATCCGCACCAAGACGCTCATCTTCCAGACGAAGCACAAGCTGGACTTCACGCCCCTGGGCATTGACCCCAGGTACACACACACACACACACACACACACTCTTATCTACCGAAATTCTGCCAAACACATCTGGAAACAAACTACGAGGATTTGAATTAATGAACATTCACGTCACTGAGAATCTGAGAAACTCACGAGTCTCTCGTGTTGTCGTGTTTCCCGTCCACAGGGGGAAAGTGGTTTTAGGTTACAGTGAGACAGAGCTGTGCACGAGGGGCTCGGGCTACCACTTCATCCACGCTGCGGACATGATGTACTGCGCCGATAACCACATAAAAAGTAAGTCCCCACAAACAACCACACGTCTGTATGTGATTTCTTCAAACTGGACTTAAACCGATTTGATTTCAAAGGGCGGAGATTCTGGTTCCAGATTCTTTCCAGTCCTGCTCTTTGAATTATAGTTGAATGGACGAGTGGACAGACAGTGAAGATATCTGTTTTTCTGTGTCCTGTCCAGTGATGAAGACTGGAGACAGCGGTTTCACCGTGTTCAGACTTCTGAAGAAGACTGGGATATGGGTGTGGGTCCAGGCCACCGCCAGGCTGGTGTTTAAAGGAGGGAAACCGGACTTTATCGTGGCCCGGCAGAGAGCGCTGACGTAAGTCAACCACCAAGCGGCCGCAGGATAGTTCCCGTCACACAGACTGGACTCGTTCTTTTATTGTTGAGTTAGTCATTAACAGTCGTTTTTCATTTTTCTGCAGAAATGAAGAAGGAGAAGAACAGCTACGCGTCAGACGCCTGCAGCTGCCGTTCAACTTCGCCACCGGGGAGGCGTTGCTGTACGACTCCACCCCGACCGTGGAAACCCCCGACATGGGCTCCACCCCGAAGCAGAGGAAAATGGACGACTTGTCCGTCAGCGCCGACTCCATGCTGGGCTGCTTGCTGAGGCAGGACCAGTCCATCTACTGTGAACACAACATCAACTCCCTCAACGACATCGCCTTCAAGGACACGCACGCCACCGTCAGCGTGCCGGGAGACACCTGGCAGCACCCTTCACCCAAACCTGGATTATCTGGGAATCTGATTAAGTCTGAGGCCATGGTCCAGGACATGATGGAGACCCTGCAGCAGATCCTCGGGGACAGCGACGTGATGGACTCGCTGGACGTGGAGCCCAACGAGCTCAGGAGCTGGGAGAGCATGCTGCTGAGGATGAGCACCAACACGTCTGATATGAGGGAGGAGCTGAACGACATTCTCAACAACGACATCCTGTCGTATGTGGAGGAGCAGCTGCAGAAGGAGGGTGGGTTCAAGCTGCCGGATCAGCTGGACGACATCTCAGCCTCCCTCTCCGCTCTGGACCAGCAGAGCCTGGACCCAAACCTCGCTGTGGAGCAGAACTTCGGATGGCCCCTGGAGCCTCAGAGCCAGCTGATCTCAAACGGAGGCCTGATGATGAACGGACAAATGGCGCCGGCCCTGGAGACGATGAAGCTCACCCACATGGATCCTCCTCAGTTGGGTTCTCCTGCTTTAAACGGTCCCACCCTTCAGCAGATCGCCTCCCAGCAGATGCTTCCCACTCCTGTCGGTCTTGGCAACGTCGCTGCTCCGGTGACCTTCAACCCCTCGCTGGCGGACTCTTGTGCTCAGACGCAGAACGAACTGAGGAGCTTACAAGTCGCCGCCCAGGAGAACAACCTCGGAGCGTTCAGGCCGACCAATCAGCTTCACCCGAGCCAAGTGCAGAACCACGTTCAGATGAGGATGCCCAGCGCACCGATCGGCCTCCAGGACCAAAGCGGAGGCAGAAAGTTAAATCCTGTGTTCAACTTTCAGGGAAACCAATGGAACTCTGTCCCAAACTCCAACCAAGTCAACAACTTTGCTCAAACTTACCCCCAGAATATTTCAAACGAATCAGGTTTCACTGCGGTTCCTCCCTCGTCCAGCTGCTTACAGGGCCACTTCGCACTTCAGACACACAACAGTGACAATCAGAGACAGTCTTGGCCACTGGAGCAGCAGCAGCAGCAGCAGCTGATCTCCGGTGGACGCCAACAAACGTGCGCCCGCCTCAACCAAATGTCAGGACTTCAGAGGAATCCTCTGCCTGGAGTCGTTGCGCCCCAAACCACCGTCAACGGCAGGCCGGTGTTCAGGACTCCAGAGACTCCCACTGTACCGTTTCCTGTTCCGCAGGATCTGGAGCCTCTGGCCCCTTCGAGCAGTTGTATGTTCGGAAATGCCCCCGCGTCTGTGCCGGTGAACGGAGTGCCCCTCGGTCAGGTGAACTCCTGCAGGCAAATGAACGCAACCGGAAACAACCAGATCCTCTCCAAGCCCGCCTGTTTCTACCAAGGTCTGCCCGGACCGGGGTCTGTGCAGGGGATACCGGCGTTACCGAACCCCGATGAGGCGGCGCTGTCCTGCCAAATGACCGCCGGCTTCGACCTGAACGGCCTGATGGTGCAGCAACAGCAGTATCTGAACTTCAGTGAACAGACGCAGGTAAAACAACTTCACTCACAGCTTTTTTTAGTTTTTAAGTAGGAGGTTTATTAACTGTACTTATTGTAGTATTTTCATTTTGGATATCGACGACCTTATACTGGGCTTGGAGAAAAACTTCAAGGCTGAGTTTTTTCCCACCACGTTCATTTTAAACTGTAAAATATTCCTCCCTGTAAATCTGAATTTCTCAGAAACACTGTTTACAGTAATTAGTTCCGATGTTCTTCACTAAGATATCTTTCACTTCTCAGATCTTCTCACCTGTCATTGCTCTTTTTCACAGATCAACAGCCGTCCAGTCATCGGGAACAAAGTTTTCCCCTTCCCCTCGCTGCCCGACGACACCGTCTACTACTCAGAGAACAAATAGGGACGAGCCGCTCTCCACCCCCGGACTGAGAGACGTCAGTTTTAAGGAACACAAAAAGACTCCTGTCTCTAAACATGAAACGGAATAGACTGAAGAACAGAAACGTGCCCCCGAAAACCATGAGGAGAGAAAACAGGACACGTCCCCCTCTCTTTGTGTTTTTCCAATTAGGAAAGAATGATGAAAGCTTTAAAAATTCAAGTTTGGCTGAGGACGGCCGGTTTGTGGTCGAGGTGGAGACGTCTCGAGAGGAAGAAAGAACAAAGTTTGTTTTCATCGAAGAAGAATGAAATCTTTTCTTAAGGCCGATTGGATCGTACCGAAAAAACACTTCAATTTGTTTTGTGAAAAGCCAATCATCATACAGCACTTCTGTATCGTCCCACTTGTCCTCGGTGATGTCCAACGAGAGAAGAGCGAGTCAGCGGCTGCTTCCTTCGGTAAATTCACTGTGGTGGAAAAAAAAAAAGCAGCTACGCGGACGACCTCCTGTTCATCCGTCTCTGACGCAGCTCCTCCCTGAAAATCTCTGTTTTCTACTTTCTCAGAAGGATGAAACGTGTTGACGTCTTCTCGTTTTGCTGTTTTTGAAATTGCGTCTCGATTAAGTTCATTATAACTTTACTGTCCCACTGAGGGAGATTTGCTTTGCAGACAGG